GGCGATCACAATGACTTTATTTTTGTAATTGAAACGATATTTTATATTTATTCTTTTGGATACTAACAATCAATATAAATTAAAGTAGCCCAGTTGCCACGTTCATGTTTAAAACTCCTCACTCTTCCCTCGTGTTGTGATGAATCATCATATACTTCTTCATGATGAGGAACACCTTTCCATGTTGCAATGCTTCCAGGTAAAGGTAATCTAAATGATAAAAATTTTTTCACATTTTCTCTTTTAATATTAATATGTAATTTACTAAAATCTGTTTTATTCATTTTCAAGTCTAAATATAAATGACGAATGCGCATATGATATTTTCATACAAATCATTAAAACTCTTTAGAAAAGATAAAAAGTAAATTTATTAGTACTATTTCAATATGTGCAATTGTGCAAAGAAATCACAGTTATTCAAATAATAAATAATTCTAACAATTAATAAAATTGCGATATATTTGAATATTTATGAAAAATTATGAGTAATCATAAAAAATAAATAAGATAAATACCGTTCAGAATTTTCCTTAGATTTTTTATCATCATTAACTTCATCATCTTCGGAATCAGAAATGTACGTACTTAATAAATCTAAACCTGACATAGTATTTATAATATTCGTAATTAATTTAAATGTTTCATACTTTGAGGTTATATTTTAAAATTATCTGTCACCGCTTATTTTATCAAAGTATAATATCAAAATATATTCACAATTCAATAATATTTAATGTTTCTGTTCTAAATGCATCAATTTCAAAATGAAAAATACAGAGAAAACAGTGACATTAAAATTTAGTGCAAACAGTACTTAAAAAATTAAATTTTTCAAAGTTCTGTCATATTGTAAACACATATATCAATATGTACACACACACACATATGTATATATACATGATTATTTTAAATGAATTACATTTACGTCTAATAGTAATTAAAAATTTCAATTAAAAGCTAAAATTACTGATAAGTTTATTACATAAATTTATACATAAATAAATAAATTGTCAATTTACAAATCTACATACATATAAATAATACTTTATAAATTTAATCTTTTTTATTATTTTATTACATTATCTTATTCACTAAAATCTTCTTCATCACTAAAGTATTGATTCTTTTTATATTTTTTTCCAGATTTTTGAATTAATCTATTTTCCTCCTCATATGTCTTATATCCTAATCTTTGATTATTTTCCAATTCTTTCTGTCTTTGCTAAAATCAGATTAATAACAGTAAATATTTGTTAATTTTTTATTTTAATATAGATATATAATACAAAAATATATTACCTCTAATGCGATAGCAGCACTTAATGTTTCTACTTCTTCATCCCAATTATCTTCTGCTGATTCATCATCACTATTTTTATTAAAATCACTTGTTTGCTGAGTATTAGCTTTCTGTTTTTTTCTTAGTCTAATCTTTTTTAGTGGTGGATTTCTTGGTCCTAATGTATTGTTTCTACAACTGTATGATAAATGTCCTTCTTCTCCACATTCATAACATTGGGATTTATCTGGATAGTCTCTGCGACGTATAAATTCAGTGCTCCTTCCATTATCTACTGCTATGGAACTTTTTACAGTACGACCACCTATCTGTTAAAAGATGATTTATAGTAAATAAGATATGTAGAGAATAATGTAGAGAATAATAATATGTGAAGCAAATTCCAGTTTACTTCTGTATTATTTAAATTTTTAGCACAGGCAATAGCATCTTCTGGAGTAAGAAATAATACAAATGCAACACCTCGACTTTTTCTGGTGATTTTGTCTTTCATTACTGTCACTCTATAAACAAGTAAATAAATATACCATCATGATAGTAAAAAAAATCTTATTCTCTTGGCTTGTTAAGTTTTTTTGTCAAACATATTTTGTTAAATATTAAAACATAAAAAAGAATTTAATATGTAATAAAAATTTAATCAAAATGATTAAACACTTAGTAAATAACAATTTTTAAGAAAGATATTAAGATAAATGAAATATATAAAAAAAGAAACCAAATAATGTATTTTTAACACATATTTAATAAATTTATATATAATTAAAAAATTAGTTACTTAAATTTCATGACTTACTTTACAATTTTTCCATAATTCTGTAAAAGTTGATGTATGTCATTATTTGTTAATGAAAAAGGTAAATTTGAAATATAAACTGTTGATTTACTTGGTACCACTCCACCACTCATTTTTATTATTATTTATCTTTAATTTATTTTTAACTTAATCTGAAATATAGGAATGGAAAAAAATTATAAAGTGAAATCTTATAAATTTTTTTTATCTCGTTTATTCCTTTCATTTGTGAAAATATTTATATTCAATAATACATTTTATTTTATACTAATAATTAATTCCTTATGAACAAAGCTACTTTTGTTTTTGTTATGTTTAAGAAACTATTTATTACATTGAAAATTAAGTCATAAAGGTGATTAATAATAATAGTTAAAATTTTTTTAACTATACTTACAAGAACATCATAATTATTTATACGTCATATAATACCAATTTTTGCATACATATTAAAATTATTGTAAATTGTGAGAATGTAGTTTATACCATAACTATAATATACCATGAACTTAGTTATCAGTAGTACCAATGTAACAGATCGTATAAAATCATAAGTATAAATTCAAAATATGAAATAAGTTTCGTTATTCATTACAGATCGAAATGGTAAGTAATTTATTAAACGTAATCAAAAATTTATGAATAAAATAATTTTACATTTTATTTATTAAAGTTATACATTTATAAATTCTAATAAAACTTCATATAAAAGCAATATAGTATATACAAAAATGTTAACATTTATTATTTATTTTTAATCGAACAATTTTTTATTTTATTTAAATAACGTGTATTAAAGATATTATATTTACTTTAATACATATATCTTATGAAAGTAACACATTCAAATAATCGAAAAAAGTATTTAATTTAATTTTGTAACATAATACAAACATTTAAATTAAAAAAAATGTATATTTTGTAAAACATTAGATTTAATTCTTTAAGTACAAAATTTGCACAAAAGTACATAAATATTAATCTAAATTTTTAAAATTATTCAAAGTGAAAATCTTATTCTTTATAATTAAATTAAATAAACTACTTTTAAATGTAATAATACATTTGCCTCTAAATACAATTTTAATTATAAAATACTAAATTTTCTATTTTACTACGATGGGATAACCAAGTACATAAGTAGCCTATATTGCCGTATTTTAATTTACAAACAAATACTACAAATCTGATTGTTACTGTTTTCACATAATAATGATTACACAAAAAGATAAGTAAGTTTGGTCCACTTTATTCTGTGACTATCCAAAATTATTTACAAAAAGTATGATACAAAATGAGAGCGGAAAAAATGAAATATTAAATATTAATAAGTTAAAAATATAAATGAAAAATCAGTCAATTTAAAGGAAAGAAAGTTAATTGTGCGCAGCTCTCTTACCATTCATATAACCTATCCATCGTTCTGCTGTAGTAGTAAAAATCGGATCGTTATCAATTGAATTTAGAAGAAGAAGCTGATTAACGTGAGTTGAATGATAATCCCACCTAGCTAAATTTGGAGCAGTTTTTAATGTAAAATGACGTAAATCATATGTAGTACCAGAACCTGTATCATATAGTGTTAACATGTTTTTTAATGATGTCATACCCTGGTTGAAAAGGTGGGATGCCTCTTCAGCATCCTTACCTGTTGCTATACTTTTCAGATCGTACAAACCAATTAAAGAATAGATAAATCCATTAAGTATAAATGAAGAAGGTGTCGTTGGGTATTCTTCGTACCACACGTATTTATTTAAAAATATTGCAGCTACTCCTCCTTTACTAGAGGATAACTTAAAAGGTTGCAAACCTCTAATAGCAGCTTGCAAATATTTTTCTTCACCAGAATGATAATACGCTCGTGCTAATACAGAAATTGCATGTCCTTGACCCATACCAGAATACCTATGTTTATGTAAAAAAAAAAAAAAATACATTTTAAAAAAATATAGCACGATGATATTTGTAAAAATTCAACAATTTATCAAACTAAAATACCATCCAGGTTCGAGAGTAGCCATTCCTGATGCTACTTTTCTTCTAACAGGGTTTGCCCATCCACCAGAACTAATGTTTTGATTACTAACAAACCATCTAGCTGCATCATAAAATTGCTCCATGTGCTCACTTGTAGATAATGTCACATTGTCGATCATTCCCGATCCGTACAATGTAATTTTCACAATCTGTAAAATGATTGATCTTCGTTATTAATTTTTTAATTATTTTACGGTAATTTTTATATTTATATATTACTTTTAATTTTGAACGGGACATTTTCTTCTTGTTCTTATCATTTAAATATAAACCTTTTTGTAAATCTATAACTAAATCTCTAGTAAATCTTCTCCACTGATGATTAATTTGACCAATTCCGTAATAAACGTGATTGTTGTATGTATGTAGTACTATATTACTAGTAACATAATGAAGGTAATATATTTCCTTTCTTTCTCTAGATTGCAATGTGATCATAATACTTCCATTATCTTTAATATTAAAATCCCATTTCAGTACAAAATCTAGTACATGATCTAACTTTAAAGTAATACCAGAAGTACTGGTTTCTGGTGTTGCAAATTTCATTACATGGCTGTTAACATGTTTATCAAATACTCTAGACGCAATAGATCCTTGAGGTATAATCCATTCTCTTTTAATTTTATCAGAGTCCTCAATTATCTTTCTGTGAGGCTCTGGTTCTGTTAAATTTTTACTGTAATGTGATAGTCCAAATTGAGCAATTTGTGTAGGATAGTAATATCCTTGACTCTCCCACTGAGTGGATATTGGTACTCCATCATTTCCACTAATGCATTTAACACGTTCTCGAACTTCAACATTATAATTCTCAAAGGTCATAAACACTCCTCGGGGATCATATTTCCCTTTAGGATTAACAATTTTTGAATAACTGTGCAACCATTCAAATCTTTCTAGTCCATCATAGGTGGCTAACTTCCCATAAATCTGATGTATTTTAAACATGTTAGTATTTTATTGTAATTAAATGACATGTACTTTTCTTACCTCAAAATATTTATGAATAAATGAAAATGGTATGTAAACTTCATCTCCTTCTTTACGGCATCCAATAGAATAATCACCATTTATATGACAATCTATCTCTTGATATCCAGTTTCTAAATTTACTCGGTCCTTTTAAACAACAAAAGAAAACATAAAAAGATAATAATATATAATATATAATAATATATAATAAATATTATCACTGTATAAATTTTTTACATTAAATACCTTTATGAAAACACTTGCTAAATCTATGTATGTTGCCTATGATATTTACTTACTCTATGCTGAAATTTTGATTTCCAATCAGTGCCTTTAAAAAATGATGGGCTGCCACAATTATTCCATGATGTCAATATTGAACTCAACACTGCAACTACTATTATGAGTAATACTGTTTTAAAGTTCAACCTCATCATTCTACAAAACCTGTTGAATGAAAATATTTAAATTATATCCTTAAAACATAGGAGAATTAATTTTGTAAAGTGAATGATATTGTAAATGATACATTGCTACATTATGCTTACTTACAATATTTTATTTAAATTCCTGCCTCTCTTCCTTTTTAAAAACAAGTTTTACTGAATTTAAATATTTTGTTCCCCATTCTTCTTAAATTGTAAAATTCTGAAAAGGGCCAAAACCATTTTTATAAAAATAATAAGAAACAAATGGTAGCATCCAATGACAGCTTTTAAAATGCATATATGTTGTCATCTCTTGTATAAAAGATCACTTTATATTTTTTATCGGAGTCTTTATATGTTTAATCATCGATGTTTATCGATGCCAATTGATGTTTCATACATTCCACTCATAATATCGTGAGCAGTTACAAAAAGTTAACATTACATCTGTTCTCTTTTCTTGTATAGTTTATTTTATTAAAAAATGATGCATGCATTAGAATATAGTTTCAACAGCATTACGTAAATTCCCTAGAATTCGTTTTCGAAATATTAACCATGGATGAACTTTCAATGGTTTTAGGAAAACTCAATTACATAGGATTTGAAGAACTATTCATATATCAATTTTTATTGAATTAAAAAGCGCAGTAAATCTTTAATATTTTGTATGGCGTGTACATACATACATCATGAACTTTGATATTCTAAATTTTAATATAGTAGAAACTTTTTTTTATCAACAAATTCAATTGATCATTTAAGATATTTGAAACTATTATCTATTTTTTTCGCCGTAAGTTTGTATTATCAATATTCGTAGTTCGTTCTTTAGATTTAATCTACATTTATGAAATTAATTATACTTTTTCCATATAAATCGTTTACTAACTTCATCGTATGGAATTAAAATATTTTTCTTTTGTGTTATAATATTGCAATATATGAATTATTTTAGTTTACAATTTTGTAGTTGAATGTATCTTTATATCCTGTTTCCGTGGTCGATACGTATAACTCCATCTGTGAGTCGTGATACACAATGGAATGTTCAATATTACTTGTGTACTAAGGAAATTTATAAGAGATGGAGCTGAGTGGAATATTGAAATATTGTTAAATAGGTATGTGCAATACATCCACAGAGTATTTTGAATTTGTATATATTCGAAATAACCATTAATATGCCCGACTATGATCGTAAAACGAAGACATGCATCATTATTAAACTTCCATTTTTCAGCGTTTCACAAACTGTACGCTGATACTTTCGTCGAAAGTCTCTTTCAGTTCGTTTTATTTGCACGGCATTCTTCCTTTTACAATATTTTAGTCAAATTGAATACCAAAGCGATCCCAGCAATTTGTATACAGTGATATATATGTCATGTTAAAAGAATTTCTACGCTAGCATACTTCGCTCGCTATGTAAGTCACAGAACCATATTCCGATGTCAATGGATCCCGTTGATGCGTTATTATAATGTTAGATATGAAACTTTTGATTTTTAGAAACCAATCAGGTTAAGTTACTACTGAGTACTTAATTGAGGCATAATTTCCCTTTTGTGTGACATGGATTGTATGGCATTTGAGTCACAAGTACGAAGAAATTATTCTCAGGAATGTTAAGTAATATTTGTAGCCTATGAAATAGTATAATAGTGTAGTGTAAATAATTCTTTTTCTCATGATACTACTCAATCTTGTAATTAGCAATTAACGTCTGATATTTATAAGGAATGCAGTTGGAAAGATTTGAAATTCTTCTTTCATCAGAGAAAGCGTAATTCAGTATCTTATAATCTAATTTCAAAGATCAAGGTTGTAACATTCTTTATTTTTTTGTTTTTACAGGATTTGGTGCACTTGGGGTATCTATATAAGTAGACATAATAAACAGTTAAACTAATAATATCAGGTGAGGAAACTTAATACAATTTGTTAAGTTGATATGAAAGTTTAATTTTCTCATAAATAACACATTCCGATAATAAAATTATTTATTTTTAAATTATATGTCATACTGTATATATATTTTAGTACCTAATTTTTACTATTCTATTAATACTCTGCTAGAAGATAATATTAAAAAACATTGAAAATTTTTAGTATTTTAGTTATTTTTTTTCACAAAAAATATTAAAAAGACCTTTTAATTAATAATAAACAGGTACACAATGGAAATAACAAATCAAGAAAAACAGATTCCTTCACGGGGATTGAAGCAAGTGAAGGTAGATAACTGGGGCACTTTCTTTCTTCAAAGACTTCAACAACTTTATTTTGAAGAAGAATTACTTGATCTTACAATCAAATTTCCCACCAGTGATATCACTGTTCAGGTATTAATTTTATATATGTATATTGTAAATTATATTAATTAAATATTTCTTTATTATTTAGTGTAACAAAATTTTTGATTCTAGGCTCATCGTTTAGTTGTAACAACATGTACAGATTACTTCATGCAACTGGAACGTGAGCAAAAAGAAAAAGATGAAAATTTTGATGGGGTAATTATCATGCCATCAGATATGCCATATGAATGCGTGAAATCAATTATAAGGTAAATTTTATTTATTTATTACACAATTTATTGCAGTACATAAAATTATTATATTTGTAATATTTTATAGCTTTATGTACACTGGTCAGTTAGAGTATTGGACTTCTGAGCAACATGCTTTGTATCGTACTGCACAGAAAATGAACATGACTGTTTTAACTAAATTACTTGATGCACAATTTAATACTGCTTCTCTGCAAAATGAGCATATGGTAAAATGTAACACTCGACCAGCAACAGCAGTTTCAAAGCCTTCAACATCCAACACAAAACCAACAACTACTTCCATTTCATCTTCAAATCATTCAAATCAACCATTACCAGGTAGAAAGTAAGTATATTTCATATAAATTAAAGATAATTTAGTTACATGACCTTTCGATTTTATACGTACAATATTTCAGGCTTCCCATTTGGAAAAGAAAATTAGATACATCACAAAGTATGCCGTCACTTAATTATGAAATGCGAACATTCCATGGGATGCCGTCGACAAATAGGCCTACAGAGGTAACTCCTGGACCTTCCCGATTTGATCTCCCTGAAGCCGAGGAGTTTGCTCTTGGGGTGTTCTCGTCTTTCGACGATATTACGTACAATACAAAACCTATCGTTCAAGCGCCAGACAATTGTAAAAGAGATAGTTCACCTAGTGGCAAATGCTCTCCAGATAGAGATAGTAAAAATGATACAACCGAAGATGAGGAAGACGAAGGTCATCCGAACGAGAAGAGTCTAAAAGAAATGAATTCCGACGACGATTGGTCCGTGGCTAGATGTTTTCAAAGGAATCAAGATACACAACCTTCGCCATCTAAGAGAGTGCGATTTGATCTGGAAGAGAAAGAAAACATGGAGAAGGGGAAATCATCTTACCGAACAAACTCGGAGGATTCTATCAACAATCACGCGAAAATTATTCGGGAAGTATTGAAGAAATATCCACATTTAGTGAAAAATAACAAGAATATACGTTTGAAAATCATGCAAAAAGAAGCAAAATCTTCGGATAGCAATTCAACGAGCAAAACGAAAGTCTCTTATGTAGTTTTGAAATCTGACCATTTGATGTCAAGTAATAACAGCGAAGAAACCGAGACAAAGAGTAATGGAAGTGTGGACGGCGAGACCGGACCATGGAAATGTAATAAATGTGATTTAGAAGAGGAGTACACGAACTACTACATGTACAGAAGACACATGCAAGATGTGCACGAAGAAAAATTCGATCCGCGAGTTTGCGAGCATTGTGGTTATAAAGCAACCAAACGAAATATTCTGATGTATCATCTTTATACAAAACACAATGTGCCTCCTCCGAAAAGCATGTGTTTCCCAAAATGTCAGGCGTGTTCTTACGTGGCATTATCAGAAACGCTTTTGGTGAGACATCAGATTAATCACAATCATCGACCAACGCCACGTCAACATTCGTCAACTGCTGAAGAAATACAATGTATGCAATGTTCACAAACGTTCAAAGACGTTACTGAGTTGACGACTCATGAAATTAATGCAGGTCATGGAAACTTGTCTGAGGGCAAAGAAAAGGGCCATCGTTGTACTCACTGCGGTAAAGTTTTTGTACGAGCCACAAATTTGCAAGTTCATCTCGATTGCGTGCACAAGGATTTGCGCGATTCGGACACAGCATCAGTATCTATGCCACCGATTTCTTTAGAGCCTTCTTCGGAAGCAGAAGCCTTGAGTCACGTGGCTAGTGGTATAGCGACTTCTTTAAGTGTTGGAGATAGCGTTCCTGCGGAATCTCAGGATGGAACATCGAATGTGTCGGAATACATACCGGAGATGCAGTTAAATAATATTTCGCACGAAATGACTTACAACACACACGAACTGGATGGACAGCATATGATAATGTTGATTGATAACGATAACTACCAGCAGCAGGAGAACGGGCAACAGCCACAACAGCCACAACAATTAAATATTACAGATAATGAGCAAATCGTAATGCAAGGTACAGAGGATGGGATGATCGTTTATATTCATGGAACTGAAGAAGTGGAGAGACAAACATACGACAATTATCAGTCGGAAGAACTTACAGAAGAGACTGAGGAGATAGTAGAGGAAGTGGTTGAAGAGGTTGAAGAGAAAGTGATGGAGGAAGATATGCAAGTCGAACAATCGGAAATATTGGAGGAATGCAGTTCTGATCAAGTAGAAGAAGTTATACAATATGTGGAAGAGCAGACAGAAATAGTGGAATATGATGAGCAATGCAGCGAACAAAGTAACAGTGTAGGCGAATCGCAGGAATCAGTTATGATTATCGAAGAAGAGCATGTTGAAGGAGAACAAGAAGTGGAAAAGAATAATAAGCAAATTAAAACTAGTTTTACAGAGTGGGATGAGGACAGTAGAGAATTAGCTGAATCATAAATAATAATATTCTTATATTAGCCTTTTCGTTTCTTAAGTTTCATTAGTGTCTATAACTAACAAAATGGCATGTTTCAATTGCATTTCATTTACTTTTTCCTCTGATTTCTGCGCAGTAGATTATATACAGACACGGAACAAACAATGTAAATGAACTGTTTTACTTTTAAGGAATATGGAAGTAACATTTCAATTAATTCGGGAAAATTGATTTCAATTTCGAACTTTATTTTAGAACACAAATATTTGTATATAAAGCTTATACATATGTACAATGTATTCAATCGTTAGAGATTTAATTTGATCTTTAATGAAATGGAGGAGGATTTAATTTGATCTTTAATGAAATGGAATTATAATTACTATATAATTTTCAATTTTTTTGAATATACAGTTGCACAAGTGTGGCAGTGGATAAATATGAAATGCAAAGAACAAAGAGACACAAATAATTTCTAATTAATTGCTAGCTGCACATGTTCAATGCAAATATTAAAAAAATAAAGAAAGTAGAAGTAATACGTTTCTTTCAGAAATTCTATAATGTTTCATCAACTTGAAACTCTATAAAGTTCGATGATTATTCATTGATATAAATAATTATATAATTTGATAAAAGTTATTTGTGCAAAGTGTTTCGCGTAATTTTAATATGCAAAGTATTTATTTTGATGTTCAGATAAACAAAAGAATACTGAAATAAAAAGATTGTACTCAAGCGACAATGATGACTAAAATGTTATCATTTCTTTTATTATTACAAATTTATTAATATACTTTTTTGTTGGAATTAATACAATAAAAAAAAAAAAAAAAACAATCATTTCGCCTGTATCAAATTATATATTTTGCTATTTATTTCGTTACGTATAATTTGAAAATGTTAAAGCGCATTATTTCAAATATTTTTAATTTTGTACAAGTATTTGAATAAAGCAATACAAATAGAATTCATATCTATATAAAAAATATGATTCTGGTGTGAATAACATTTTCTTTACGTTCTCAAAATATGATTTTGACGATACGTCATCTACAATGAAATGAAATTTGAAGTTTGTTTAATATTAAAAAAGATAGAATATAAAGCGTAAAGAATAAAATATAAAGCGAATAAAAAAAAAAAAAAAAAAAAAAA